CAGCCCAGCCGGGAGCCTGCCTGGGCTTCCGGACTCGGCAGCGGGAGGAGCCCAGAGTGGGCCAGGTCACGCACACGCTGCCTGTGCCAACCTCGTGCTGGCCCACCTAGGGTCAGCACCAACAGATGGCACAGAGCCTTGCTGGTGACGCGAGGCTCCCTCTGTGCGTCTCCAGCCTTTCCTGCAGGTCACTGACCTCTGTATGCCTCAGTTTCCCAATCTGTCATGTAAGCTCGTACCGGGACCGGAGCAGAGAAGTATGAGCAGACATTCTTATCATCACTTGTGAGTCAGCAGCCACCGCAAATCCATCGCAAAAGGAATAATCTTATTTCTTCAGTATTGATTCCCTACGTTGAAGATTCACAACATTAACAAACTCTTAACACATCTAGACGCAACAGTTTCACGTTACCAAAACGAGCGGAATCATGAATACATCGCATGTCTTCAACGGCAAGTTCCAGTTTAATGCAAATAGTTAGCTCCTCGGGGCTCTCCAGCCCCGCTCTGTTAGACCCCCTCCTCTGCAGCTAAGTAAGAGCCTGCACCTGTGCTCCGACGGGGGAGGTGGGCAGGGGTCCAGCGAGCCCCATTCATGAGTTTCTGTCCTCTCCCAGCCCTGCTAGCTGGGGACAGAGAGGCCCCTGGACTGTGGAGCCCGGAGCTGGGAGGAGCCTGGACCTGGAACCCTAAAAATAGGGTGGCAGCTTCTGGTAAGGGAGGTAAAGCTGGGCAAGGCAGAGGCTTGGGCTGAGGGTGTCCAGGGCTGGTGCTGCCCAGCAGGGAAGAAAGGATGCCAAGGTCTGGAATCCTATGGCTTAAGTCGGCGCAGGGCTGGGGTGTGGCCCAGGGCGCTGTCCACGTGCGAGGCCCTGGGTTGGACCCCGCGCACCAAACAAAATGACAAAACCCTAACGCAGGCTGTCAGTGCTTTCCTAGTCCTGCCCAGGGCCACTGGTTTCCCCAAAAGCAACGGGTGCGCCATCAAGGGAGATGCTTCTCTCCTGAACCTCGTGTGGCCACAGCTAGCACGACGACCTAGACAGTCCTCCTCCTGAGAAAGGACACAGCAGCAGACAGCCCCGTAATGCGCTCATGCGTCCTCTGGGGCCAGCTCCAACTCCTCACAAAACGTCTGCTCATTTCCAAGAACAGCTGACCTGTCCTTGCTTGTGACACCCACAATGTCCTCTTCTTTTGTCCTTTTTTTTAATGCCAGAAATCGAACTCAGGACCTGGCACTTTCCAGGCAGGTGCTGTGCCACCGAGGCAGACCCCGGCCTGCCCCTCCACTTATCACCATCCATGCAGCACCTGTGTGATTATTTACAAACCTGTTTCTTTACGCCGACTACTTTTTAAATTAAGTTTGGTCCTCACTAACCAGTAAATCACAGTTGGATAAGCTAGATGTATGTTATTTAATAAACATTCCAATAAACGCAAGATGTAATCTAGAAATAACAGTGAATGTTTAAATTACATTTACTACAGGAAAAGACGCACTGCCATGAATCTCTTTAACACGGGCTCCTCGATTTGATATGTCCATCCCAGCGCTCGGGAGGCTGAGGCAGGAGGATCACTGTGAGCTCAGGGCCGGCCTGGGCTACATGAGACCTCTTCAGGAAAACAGAAACATTCCCCTTCCGTGGTCATTTGACTTTGGGGAACAGCCACACATCACCCAAAGTTAGGCCCGGTGGATAAAGCGGAGGAGGACGTGGTGCCCTGTTTTACAAGTCTGCCTTGCCCTTAGATGGCAGCTGGCAGCACGGTTCACCATGTTTTTGATCACAACTGGTAAAGACACTCAGGGACGAGGACTCCGGAGCAGGGGGGTAAGTGTGCTCGGAGGGAGGAGGACTTTGAAGGGATTAGCACCATTCTCTTTCACTGTGGTAATTTTTAAGAAATAGAAGTGCTCACTGTATTTCAGTCATCCTGTGTAAACCAACTGATGTGAAACACACTTCATCTCCTGCAAAGCCGGGAGCCACTCCGAGGAGACCACCGCGCGGGCGTCGGGACCTATCCTTTTCTTCCTGCAGGCCTCCCTGGCGCTCCCTGTGGTCACTACCCTGTCCTCCTGAGCCTCGGGTTGGGGAGGACACTCTCTTTTGAAAACTGCACCATATCCAGTGTCCGGGAGCCAGGAACGCACGCCAGGCCCGCTGCGTGGTTTCTCCGAGCGTGGTGGCACCCAGTGAGCTGGTCTTCCTCTGCGGGTATGCGGGGTACAGCAGGTAACTCCTGGCAGCAGCAGCACCGGCTCCTTCCGAGTCTCAGAGGCAACCCAGAGGGGCACACAAGTGCTCAGCCTGTGAGTGGCAGGCCGGCTTCCCGGCTGCTCCAGTGAGGGGGCTCTGGCGTGTGGTACGGGGTCCACAGGGTCCCAAGGTCTTGCATGCTCGGTGGATTCCCTCTGGAATCCACTGTTCTGACGAACGTCCCTGTTCCCAGTCCATCCAGCCCGGGCGCAGCCCTCACCCAGGGTACCGCCGTGCACCTCCTGCCCTGCCTTATCCACCAGCCTCACTGGCCGGAGCATCAGGGGAACCCTGTCACAGCTCTGCTCCACTCTCCCTTCCCAGTCTCTGCTCCCCTTGAACACTACCCACCCCTGCTTTCTCCTCTCTGCTGGGCCCAGGGGAGCCCCCAACATCACCGATGGGACCATGGCCCCTGCCGTGACCTGAACCCCTCCCTGGGTGTCTTCCTGGGTATGTGGGCTGACTAAGGGCCCCGTGGCCCAGCCTTCCCCGCACCCCCGTGCTCTTTACAACACAGCTGCTTCCCCCCACTGTGTGTCCCCCACTCTGGGGACCAACTCACACTGTCCAGCAGACCGGAGCCAGACCTGGGGCCAGGGACTGGGGGCACTCGGGCCCTTTGGTCTTCCTCCTGGGGCTCCACCATTGCCTTGCACAGAAGTCTGGGTTGGCCTGATGGAGGACGCAGCTGGGTGACCACTGTCTTAGCCACTTCCTTTGTCACTGGGACAAATATCCGACCCCACAGGTTAAAGGAGGAGACGTTCATTGGGCTGTGGTTTCAATCTGTCCTCAGTGGTTTAAACACAGAAACACTTGCCACGCCGGAGGGGCTGGCAGCGGAGAGCTGCTCAGGGCACAGTGGCAGGAGGCAGAGAGAAGGCGGAGCCTGGGACTACCATGCACCGTCCTCTGCAGGCCACACCCCTACCAGCAAGCCGGCTAGAGCGCCCCCCCGGGGCCAGTCACCTTCCACAAGCCCGGCCTCTGAGCACAGGACGCCTTTGGGGACACCCCACCTGCCCCCAGCAGACAGATGAGGCCGGCCTCGGTCAACCAGCACCTGACCGGCTGCAGGTCACGCAGGCTCGCGGTGCGGCAGCTTCTCCCCCTGGGTGACGTGAGACGTTGGCTCTGCACCTCAGGTAGAGCTACACTGGTCCACAGAGGACCAGGGGCAGCACCGCGGCTGTGACCAAGGAGGAGGCGTGTGTCTCGGGGCCCCTGAAGTGACTTTCCCTGGGAGCTGCAAGGGGCAGCCAGCCTGCCTGGGCTGATTATAGCCCAGGGACACTTGGGGGGGACATGCCGCAGAACGGCAAGGTGGTGAACTCCCAGGGTCGCAGGCCACTTCCTCTGGAGGGCTCAGCAGCCGTGACAGGGAACCCGCATGGGACCAGGGCCCCCATAACAGCACAGCCCACCGGGTGCCACCTGTGCCCCTCACGTGTGCCAGGTGTCCCCACCGCAGGGATGCTGGCTTGCCCATCTTGCCTTGACTCCTGTGTCTGCCAGACTAGATCCTTGCTCAAAACCACCTTTCCAGTGACACATATGAGTGTACAGATGCACACACGTGTGCAGGGATAACCTGTGAGCACACGCTCCTCACTGAAAGGGTATCCCTGTGATGCCAGCACTTAGGGTGGGGGACGCAGAGGTGTTCGGGGCTTGTGGTTAGGGGTGAGGTGAGGCAGGTGAAGCAGCCACGTCCCTTCTCTCCGGAGGAGACCACATTTACAAAACCAGACCCAGGAGACTGTTACGAGGGGTGCTGGGGGTGAGGGGAGCACAAGATGCGTATCTACAGCTCTGTGCACACGATGGGGATGAGACGTACGTGTATGTGCGCATGCATGCATGCACAGCTCCCCCTTCCTCCCTGCAAAGGGAACGGCAGCTACACCAGAATGGTTTGTACACCACAGATCCTCCACGCCTGGGCGTGTGCTGGAGATTCTGCAGGGACACCTGTGGAGGGATCAGTTCATCTGGGCTTCCCTGAGTGCATTTTAGTGTGGTGTTAATTCTGATTTTGGTGCGGGAGCCTCCAGAACTTCTTGTGACTCGAGGCAGGGAGAAGGACTTTGGGAGCCTCTTCCTGGCCGGCGAGCTGCTGGGCTCTGCTCCCCTGGAGCCCTCATCCACCCACATCCAGCCTGAGCTGGGCTCTGCAGCCCAGCCTATGGCGGGAGACAGCACTGGAGGAACCCGTCCTCCTCCTGCCTTCCGGCCCCCACACCTCGCTGTCTGCTGTGCTTTGAGTCCCCTGCAACCAATTTAAGAAGGGAATGGGGAGGCTGGGAGGATGGAGTCACAGGGCCATGCGAGAGGGAGAGCAGGTGCCCGTGTCCCTGCCTGGCACGGAGCTGTGGGGATGGTGACCGGCGGGGACCGCAGTCCCTTCTCTCCCAGTCGGGTCCATAAGCCGGGGCCAGGCTGGCTGCACCCTTGAGTGCCCTGGGATTTCACACACCCTTTCACCACGGAGCGTGTCCAGTATAGCCGTGCGGCCACACTGGCCACATCAGTGGGGTGTGAGTTCCTGCCCTGAGCCCTGGGAACACCTCCTGGGCTGGGAAGGTGCCAAGGCACCGGGTACCCAAGGCTGAGGCACAGGCCTGGCACCGGGGTCTCTGATTTCTCAGACCTGGCCAGGAGGGACGCAGGTGACCACAGGGCCCCCAGCGTGCAGGACACGGGCTCCTGCATGCACCAACTTGCCTTCACCACATCTTCGTCTGACGACCTGCACTCCACCGACTCCAGCAGCCCCGTCACCGTGCCGTCCTCCTCCACGGACACCACCTTCACTGGCACGGCCACCGTCTTCCCCGTGAGGACGGCCGTGTTCAGGATCTCCGCCTCCTGCAAGAGCAGAGACACCGTCCGGTCACAGCCCGCAGGGGACAGAGCCGCCAGCCCGGAGATGGTACAGCCGGCCGGCCCGGCCTCCCCGGGCAGCGAGCAGCCTCTCATGGGGCCTGGAGATGCTGAGACCAGGACAGCCACAGAGCCTCAGCTCTCCTGTGTCCTGCAGGGGACAAGGTGAGGACTGGACCTGGCAGTGAAGGGCGGCAAAGCATGCTGTGCTTGAGGGCTCAGGAGCTGAGAGAAGCTTAGCTTAGCCATGTGGTCTCGCACCCTGTGGAGTGTAGGAGATGGCAGAAGACGTGTGAGGCCCTGCCGCACAGCCCACAATCCCTGTCTCCCCGAGGGTGCCTGGCTCTCCAGTCCTGGCCTCTGCACACCTAAGTCACCACGGTGACAGCCTCACAGCCCCGCCGAGGTGATACACGCATGTGAAGTGCACACACACCGGAAAACTTGCATCAGCTCATGACATGATTTCCCAGGGAGGCCACAGCTGAGGACCTGGCCCCTCTCCCACCCGCAGCCCCAGCACAGCTGGGTTTGCACTGGCCAAATCCACAACGTTGTGACCGTCCTCTGCACCCAGGGCCCTGCAGGCTGTATCTCTGTCCCTGGCTAGGTCTGCCTGCTACAGGTGATGGACAGCGTGGCTGTGTCCTCTAGGACCCTGTAGGACGGAGTGAGATCCCTGTCATTGCTTCCCAAGAGCCCGATTTGTACAAGGAGAAAACTGAGCCCCAAGATCCAGGAAGTGGGCCTGACTCCGAGTCCTCTCTTGCGTAAAGAACCAAGTCCCAGCACCTCGCAAACTCCGAGTGGTCATGCCTCCTGAGCCCTTGAGCACAGTGTGTGCTTTGTTGGGTCCCAGGCCATCCCTTGCTGGGCGTCCCAAGGGCATCTGCTCTCACACCATGTGCGCTTCTCGGGAGAAACCCACACCGCTGGCAGAGCCTCGGCAAGCCTGCACTGTACTGTGGCGGGTGGGGGCGCTGATCGCTGACCCGGCCACGGTCGCCATCCTTGCTCAGAGTGCGAGTCTGAGGGTCGTTAGGGTGCAGTGTGCTGTGTGGGCTATGGCAGCAGGAAGTGAAGATGTTTAGCGTCCCCACAGCAGGTCCCCTCTCTCCTCACTCAGCCCTGCCTCTTACGCACAAGCAGCCTCTCCCCTCCGGACACCAGGGACCCCACACATTCTGCCATTTCCCCTCTGAGTTCTCAGCTCCATTTCCTTGTATTTTGGGTAAAAACAGACTAAAAACACAGGAGGGGACACAATCCGTATAGGAGGCTGCTTCCCGCTGCCTCTGGGAAGGAAGAAGCCCACGTGTGGATTTTTTGCTCTGACCTCGAGGGCAGACGGAAAGGAATGGGCAGCTTTGGAGTGGACGGGAATGCTCTCGCCAGGGACCCAGGGGCTCACGGTGCAGCAGAGAAGCAGCTGGGGGAGCTGAGGCCTCGCATCCACCTCGGGCTTGGGGACACTGCTGTGAGTGCCATGGTGGAGGAGGAAGTCCTTCTGCACCTCAGCAGTGAAACCCAGAGCAACGGTAACACGCTCGGCTCCGTGGAAAGAGGAGGGATTGGGCTGCACCCAAGGTCCAGGGAGAACGGAGGGGTGCAGGAGGGGTGCCCCTGCTCACACCTGGGACCCCTATGTCATGGCCACCAGCCTGATGCCTGGGCCCCATGCAGCCCTCAAAGACCCAGGAGTCGCACTACCCTGGGCCACCATGCACTGTGCCTTTGAGCCTGAGAACATGGCCCACGTGGTGCCTTGTTCTGTGTCTCAGACACCTGGAGAAGCTATAGGAGGCAGAAGGAGAGAAGGGCGTGGTCTAGGGGACAGAGCAGGCACTAGAGTGGGTCCAGGGTGCCTTCCTGGGAGTCTAAGACACTGTCTTCCATGACAGGGATACAGCGACTGTCCCCACCCTGCTGGAGAAATGATCACCTGTGTCTTAGCACAGGTTCCCCTGGAAACGGAGCCCGAGCCGCAGATTCAAGAGCAAAGCTTTGCAAAGCTCAGGCCACTTCCAAGGAGGGGGAGGCAGCCCCAGCTACCACCGGCCCCTCACGCTGGGGTCTGCAGACACAGCGGGGTTGGGGGGAGTCACATGCAGTGTAGGGGTGTGGACGCGGAGCAAGTGGTTTCTCTTGCTCCAGGCTGACCTGAGGGGACTGCATGTTACACAGTGCTCTGTAGCTGTTCCCCATTGGGGTACCTGGGGGAAGCCAGCTCTGGGGGAGAGACCCAGCAGGGGCAGCGGAAAGGAGCCTGGGCCCCTGAGACCCTGACCTTGAACTTGTACCCAGCCGCTGGGGAAATAATGGGCTCTCCCGCCCCCTCTGCAGACATTGTTATCACAGATAATCACACCCTCAGCGGCCACCTGAGAGGGGGTGGTCCCCCGCTTCCCCTCAGTCTCAGCTGAAACAATAAGTTAAATTGGTTCATTGTTTCCAAGCAGAGAAAAACACATCTGTTTTTTCCTCCCTTTCTTTTTGATTGTTCTTGGCTGTTTTTTGCACAGCTCCTTTGGAGACCACTCATTTTAGGACATTTTAGGACAAGGCTCAGAAAGCTTTGCATCAAGGGCTCCTCTGTTCAACAAGCATCCCAGAGGTCAGAGGCACACACCCTGGAGACAGCGTCCCCAGGTGGACGGCGTGGGGTCTGCCCGGGAAGTTGGAGGCTCCTCCAGCACCTGCAGCTCACCGCTGACTGTAGGTGTGTGTCCACTTGACACCGGGCTGCGGGAGCTCAGTGTTCGAGGACACGGACCTCTGGTTACCCTGCACGCCAGGCGCGATGCTGCTGACCTGTGCCCTGCATGAGCTCTTCCTGACCAGCCGTGGTCTGCCCCCCACTGAATCCAATGCCCTGGAGGAGCCTCAGGGAGGCTGATTCTCCCGCTCCACCCCTTGGTGTGTGTTTGTGGGGCTGCTTTTTCTCTGGGAAACTCTGCTCCTTTGTATTAGGCTTCCTGGGACCAGGGACAGACATACTGCCACGGCCTGGCTAGGATGACAGGTGTCTCTGGCGCTGTCATAAGCAGATCTTTCTCCCTGGGGCCCGAGTTCCTCTCCAGGCCAGGGAGACAGGAGCCCAGTACAGCAGGTGCCGAGGGGGCAGTGGGTGCCGGGGGGCCCTGTGCCACCTCCCAGGGTCGGTGCTGCTGTCCTGGGGTGGATGGCTCCTGCCATCGGAGACCTGCGTCACGGCTTCCTCCTTCATTCTGGGAAAGCTTGTGCTCTTCCCTTTCAGAAAAATGCAAGCCGAGTTAAGTCTTTTGCTTACAAAGCACATTAATGAGTAGAATTGAGCAGGAAGGTATAAGAACGCCGGCTGCTTTTAAGATTTTATTCTGGACTCTCCTCGAGTCGCGGCCTGCATTTCTTTAATCAGCATCAATCTCAGCTCTCTCACAATTACCGACCTAATAGGAGGCTCCTGAATTGAATATTGTGCTTATCTGTATTCTGCCCAAGTCTTTGAGCTCCCTAAGCGGAGCCTGAGACAAGGGTTTGGGCGTGGCTAGGTCACTGCTGGAATCAGAGGGAGGGTGTGGCACAGAAGGGAAAGCTTAGATGCTGTGGTCAGGGGCGGGAAGGGAAAGAGGACACCTCCATGCGCTTAGAGTATTATATTATGACAATCACACCAGAGTTAAATACAAAGAAAGTGCAGGAACTCTATCCACGCGCTAAAGACCCAAGGAAATCCAGCCGAGGGCCTGGATCCACAGGGATGTCCTGCATGAGTCCAGGTGAAGGCCCACAGCCCACAACAATGACACACAAGTCTGCTTCACGGATCTGTGCTGGGAAGGCCCAAAGGTCGGCGGGGGAAGCCAGAAAGTCTGTGCCAGCGGGCTGAGGGTTCTGCACCGGAGCCAAGAAATGAGGTTCAAACTTAGGACCAGGGCTCCCCCGAAAAGGACCACAGCCATCCTCAGTGACAAGTAGGTCCCGAGCTCCTCCAACAGGGAGAACAGCATGACAAGCTTCTCCTGGAGACTGAACAACACACATCTTTCCATCTGGAACCAGGAAGTGATGTTCAAAGTAAGGACCAGAGCTCCCCCAAAGTGAACCACAGCCATTCTCAGCAACAGCAAGGTCCCGAGCTCCTCTGATAACAGCCGAGTTCATATCAGGAAATCCAGCACGACAAGCTCCTCCAGGAGAACCAACGGCTCCAAACAACAACACACAGGAAGTCCCACAATGCTCTTCTCCCTCTCCAGGCCTTCTGTTCACGCTGGCTACTGCCCTCAGGTGGGCTGTCCATGGTCGGCACCATGCTGATGCAGTTCTGCTGGCTTTCGGGTGACCACCAGTTACCAGCCCGCTACAGTAGGTGAGCTGTGTCCCAGGGACTTGATCGTGTAAGGAAAGCTGGGATCACGAACCCTTGGGCTGCAGGTCCTGCAGGTGCCCACACTGCACCCCTGGCCTTGGGCCTCCAGGAGGTCAGGAAAGCTCACGGAAAGTGGCAATAGTGGAGGTGGATCAGCCTGGGGAAGGATAATTCTTCCCTCAGGTGGAAATGCCCAGGACAGTGAAGGCCAAGGGAATGTGATGACACCAGGGGCCAGGGACCTCGGCTGTAGAAGGGAGGCATATACTAGCAGGCAAAGGGCAGGTTTCAGGGCAGAAGTATTCTCTCTCTGTGCTTGGGACCCAGGGAAGCTGAGAGCTCACAGGGAAGACCACACTATGATATCCCTGAGCCAGGACAGAGTGGAGCCCACAGCCAGCAGGAGATGAGCCTGTATCCCGAGTCACAGCTCCACAGGACAGGGCTGACCACTGGGGCGCTGGTGTCCTACCTCCATGAGCTCCTGTGGATCCACCAAGTTCTTATTTCTTCCTCCCAAGTTGGCAGTGCCAGGTACACGCTACTGCGCTGCATAAGGAACCTTGGCAACGAGCACGTACGTGGCATGGCGGGAGTCTCACAGGTGGACGTCAGGAATCGATGGTCGCAGCCA